TGTGCGTTCTACTAAGTCCTCCTGACAATAAGACCAAGTTGCGACAACGAGGTCAACCCACTCATATGGATATAATGTCTCTATAGCTGTGATAAAAAAATGCAAGTGAAAATATATTACTACCTTGGCCTGTCGTTGGGCCTCAGTCGGCTCTGGCGGCTTGCCACGCATCATTCTTAGCTGGGCATCCAATGAGAAGTCAATGTTATAAAAAGCCAGTCCTGCACCTTTTTGTATTTCAATCGGCTTTGGAGGAAAGCGCAGCTGTGGATTGTTTTCCACCTCAAAAACCTCAAGCGTCTCGCGTAAGTAGTGTATGGCATCGGGCAACGTAAGCAAACGATTCGAGTTGAGAATCAGCCGCTTCAGACGGCCACACCGACAAAGACCTTGAATAATCGAATAAGAATAAATAAACATAGATAAGTGTAGGTAAATGAAAATAGGATAGAGACCTCGGAACTATGCAGATACACACACACACACACACACACATATATATATGGAAAGAGAAAGAGAGACAAAGAAATAAAGAATAAAGACAAAAGTGGAGGGCAAGAACGGACATAGATCGTAGATATGAAGATCAAAATGGTATGACCTGTTTAGTCCCAGTTTCCTTTAGCTTTATAGTATTGGTTCGATCTTGTTTTCGCAACTTGGTGGGAGCGTCAGGGAGACCTTGGAGAACGTACATAGTCCCGTGTCCTCTGCGATAGTATTCGTGATTTTCAGCATTGAACCATTAGCTGGATGCATTCCCAAACGTTTCGCCAGCATCGCCAGTGAGAGGCGCCATTTTAAGCACATTTACGATGCCGTCGAAACGTATGGAAATGTACCAAGTCGACGGTCCAACTCTGGAAATCATCATGCATACTATGGACTCTGGACAAGGTGTGTTCCTCTAGGTCTTCCTGCCAATATAACCAGGTTGCGAAAACAAGGTCAAACAAATAGTATATAAAATTGAATCTTCTCTTATAAAGTAGTAGGCAAGCTAACAATCATTTAAACAAAACTGTCCAAAACGAATTAGAATCGACAGAGATTTAACCATAAATGAGTGAATATATTCGAAAGATGTTGAATTCAGTTTTGAACACTTTTCATTAAATCTTGAAATTGAACACAAAAATAATGAGAAGCTTGAGAATACCCAAGTAGATATTTTAACATAATAAATAGGTCGCTTAAGATGACAGAAAGCATGATAGTTGGATTTTCCTAAATGAAATGTATAGAAGGCATGACGATTCCACTTAATTCGGCCTTGAAAGAGGTTTGCTTGCTTAGCTAAAGCAAAAATTGATAGAATATATGATGTAATATAACATAATATAATGAAAATCGACGAGCCAGCTAAAAGTTAAATCGTAAAAAATACAACAATGGCAATTGTTTATACAATTATATAAGAAAGGAAGAATATTATATGTGAATTATATGAAATTAGAAGTTGTTTGACCTTGTTTTCGCAACTCGTTCATATTAGTAGGAAGACTTATGAAATACAACTAGTCCGGAGTCCATTATATGCATCATCATTTCCAGAGTTGGACCGTGGACGTGGTACATTCCCAGATGTTTCGCCGGCAGCGTCAGTGAGTCTCGCCATTGGTAGCACCATATTACAACTCGTCAAAGAGACAAGTGAAGCCCATCCTTTGATTAAACGTGTACTAAACGTGTACTGGTATCTCCCCTTCTACCCTGGGCTATTCACATTTCTTATATCCTCCTATCAAGCCTTCTCTGTCCAAATTTTTGCCGTGCTTATTTTTAATGTAGTGCTCCTTCGAGCGGCATTCACACTCCACACTGTCGTTATCACCCTCTTCACCCTTGTGCTGGGATAGTTGAGCAGAGTCTGTCATATCGTTACGTAGTCCTTCTTGGGTCCTATCAAAAGTCTCCCTCTTGCCCCGTAGAATCAGTCTGCTATCTCCCTGGTACATGTATTTCACTCAAAAACTTTGCATATTGCCTAGACAAACTCAGAGAAGACCAGACAACAGTAAGATCTCAAAAAGAAGACGACTGGATCAAGGTAATATCCTTAATTTTAAGAAAAGAGATCGCAAGGGGAGGAGAACAGAAGAATCAAAAGCAAATAGAAGACGTCTTCAGTGGGCCTAATCAAAACAAGTAGAACCACAACATTTGTGTGTTGGTATACAAGAGACTAGGACGTAGGAAGTGACGGACATGATATCACAGATAGAAATAAGAAAGACGCGGTGGAGACTAAAGCTATTTAGCTAAAAATAGTCGTGTTTGATCATATAAATGATCCTTGAATTACAACTATTGTTAGCCAACTAGCTCTAGCTTCCACTGTTTCTATCCTCTTTTTATCTAAAATACCAAGTCTATGACTTGCTATGCCCTATTTTTTTGTGTGCCAACCCACAAACGTTGTGGTTCAATATTGAACCCAATCAAAGCCAGCAGTACCACAACATTTGTGGGTTGGCATACAAGCAACTAGGGCATGGCCAGTCATAGACTTGGTATTAGGGATAGATACGTAGAAAAGTTGGGTTTCAAAGAATCTCTTGTTTCATAATTGTTGATCTTACTTCCATTTCGAGTCAGCATGAATCTTCCAGTAAAGCCAATCGACAGCTGGTCAAGAGGAATCCGCCGTCGTCTTCTGGT